TGGGTGGGCTGGGGAGCAGCTCTGTGGAAGAAGCCCCAGGGTGGTGGTGGACAGTGAGCTGAATGTGAGCCAGTGGTGTGCTCTGGAGGCAAAGTAAGCCAACAGCTTCTGGGGCTGTATGAACAGAAACATAGCCCATGGATTGAGAGAAGGGATTATCCTCCTCTGTACAGCACTTGTTAGACCATATCTAGATACTATGTTTGGTTTTGGTCCCCTCAGCACAGGGCAGACATGGACAAACTAGAGGGGGCTCAACAGAGGGGGCAGTAGGGGCTGGAGCATTTGCCCTGCGAGGAGCAACTAGGGAAGCTGTGATGGGTCAGCCTGGAGAAGGGATGGCTACTACCTAATGGTACCACTGTCTGGAGTGTCTAGAAGAGGTGACTGAAGTATTGGAGCTGGGCTTTTCACAGTGGCACATTGGGAGAGGACAAGAGACAATGGTCATAAATGGAAGCAAGGCAGGTTTGGACTGGGTGGAAGGAGAACCTTTTTCCCTATGAGTGCAGTCAGATGGGTTTGCCCAGAGAAGTTGTGTAGTCTCCATCCTTTTTTCAAGACCCCGTGAGCAACGTGGTCTGACCTCAAAGCTGGCCCTGCTTTGAGCAGTAGAGTGGACTACAGACCTGCTGAGGTCCCTTCCCACTTCAGTTATCCTAGGATGGCATTATCTTGTGAACCATGTACTCTTGGGAGTCTTTTACTGGAATAAGCATTGGCTTGCTTGTTGTAACACACTCTGTCCCTTAACTCTTAGATGTGCTAGGCAGGTAAACCAAAAAGATGGAGGTGCAGAACTGGGACTGGGTCAGAGTGGGGATCTCTTTGCAGTAGCCCTGGCCTTCCTTACATTTTACACCTACAGCTCCTACACAACACTTCTGGGTATGGCGTGGGCAGGAGCTGAAGTGGTACACGGCAGTGCATCACTAGAGCAGAACGACCACTGTGCTGGTATGTGTGTGGAGAATGAAGCCATCACAGATAACAGTAGCCTGAAGGTTGAAGACAAAAATCACAATGTACTTATAGCCTGTTTAATTCTTACACCTCTGTGGGGACTCTAGCGCATTTCTAGGAACTGGAAATTAATTCAGTTACATCGCTCTGACTATAATGTAATCATGCTGGGCATACTCTCGTGCAGTATAATATTTTCCATAATCTTGTCCAATTTTTATCTTACTTTGTGTTTGTCTTCAGCTGTACAAAGATGATACATTAACTATAGTGTCCATACAGGTAGTTGGTACAGAAGGATTTTCAGGTACTGCCTGACTTGAACGTGAACTGCTTTGAAGAGAAAAACAGTCCCGTGGGAACTGCACACTTCAGCATCCAACCTGCCATCTCATGCCTAGGCCATTCACAGTTTATATTTAGGTGGAGGACAGAATAAGAACTGGAGATAAAGGTATTTAATGCAAAAAGCCATGGTACTTTTTTTTTCCCCCAGGTAGAAAAAGCCTTTTCCTCAGTTCTTGGAGTTGTGCCGTGACACCTGCCCGACATACTGGATGGTGGGTGGGCGCTGGTGAGAGCAGGGAAGTTCCACAAGGAACTAGCGGACCTGCTTTCTTCTGACATATCCGTGTACACCCAAGTTTATTGCAAAATTACAAGACTAGGCAATCAAGACTAATTATTTTCAGTGCAAATCCAAAATAAATGAGAGCTGCCGTGTATCTGTTGTCAGAGGTTCAAAGTTTGGTTCTCTCATGTTAGTCCATGGACTCGCTGCCACCCCCCTTATTAAACTCATGGAAAGCCACATTTGTATACCTCAGTTGATTTTTTTACTTGAAGATGTGTCAAATCATGATGAAAAACATTTTGAGCCTAGAAAAAAAACCACACAACCCACCAACAAACAGACTGTTACATATTTGAATGCATAAACTGCTATTTTGGAGATTTCTGAAGTGACTTTAATTTTTTCTCTCATGTGGGCTTCCAAGCCTGGAGAGGTTTTAAAATTAAAGGTGGAAGAGAAGAGAAAACTTACTTTTTAGATGAGTTTATGAAAGCTCTCTTAGTTCTAAAACTAAATAATGTATGAAGCAGCAAGATCCTGTATTGTGTATTAAATTCATATGACAGTTCCCTTTTTAAAATTTTACAGAGTACTCAGGTGAATGAACTGGATACAAACAGTATTATCTAATGTATTTATTCAAGACCTTCTATGAGCTTAGGAATTAAATGTGTGACTACTCCTGTCCCAGGAACAAGACATTGAGACCAAATTCACTTAACTTGAGTCCATGTGTTGGAGGTGCTGTGGATTCCAGGGATAAACGCGTGACAGCATTCTGAACTAGTATTACCCTTTTAATCAGCCAAAGGTTTCTTCTCTTAATTCTGGCTTTACTAATAAGGTCAGCTGGAAGGTAGAGCACAACAGAGGAGGTGGGAACAGGCTTGGAAGACACTGCAGCCACTATTGTGAGTCATTCTCTTTTAATCACGTAGGCAAAATCCTATGGGCATGTGGGATGATACATAAAGGAAGGCGAAATTTTGCTCGCTGTGGAGGAGCTGTTCATTTGTTACAAACATTCAGCTGACTTCAGTGGAGCGGTGCCAATATCTAACAGCGAAGGCTTTGGTTCTGAGAATACATGTCTGCATTAATAAATGGTTGAAGTCCTTCTTCAGGCTGCAGATGGTAGCAGCCAAGTAAGTGATGTAGCTAGGATGATGTCCAGCCACCTTTGTCACTCTTCAGCCCATGCAGCCAAGTGCCCTTTTTTTTTTTAAACTGATTTGGCGGTGATTGATGTGACACACAGACCTTAAAACTTATAATGTTTATTAATAACGTGCAATGTGTGTTCTATATAAAATGCTGCTAAATTAAAAGGCAAACTGTGGCCTCATGAGAGAAACATGTTCACGGTGTATGATGGAAAAATATAGCTATGTAGTGCATGCCTTTGGTTCAGTAGATTTCATGAAAGAAAGGTAAGCATGAGTGAAAGAATCGGCGCTCCAAAGAACTTCTGTACGTACCAAAAAGGAGTCGTTCCTGGATAAACTCATGGGTATGCTACTGCTATTTTTATGAATGTCAGCTGGGCAAACTAAACTTCTTACACACAGTTTGGTCCTCTAGATGATTACAGAAATCAAGTGGTTCTTGTGATAACTGTTAAAATAACTAAAAGCCTCTTGAGATGCAGGAAGGAGAGGGCTAACTGGAAGACAGCATCCTGGGTGGGGTGTACTGGTGGTAGCTGTGCTTTGGGGAGTAAGAAAAGTTTTGCAGGACAAATGGCTGAAACAAGAAATTAGCGTATACCATAGCATGGATGGATGGATGGATGGATGGATGGATGGATGGATGGATGGATGGCAGATCCTTTGGGAAGTTGCAAACCCCAGGTAAGTGTGGGAATGCCAGGCCTTGTGATGTATTTCTCACATGGAGACACTTTGAAAACGGAGGGGTCTACCCTGGCAGGGGCCATCCAGTGTCTGGCAAGGAGAGGAGATGCAGAGCCAGACGGTGACTCCATGACATGCTGCACTGTGACAGTCACCCTTTGTTGCAAGATGGCAAACAAGCTCAAATGCACAGTACTAAATTTATCGTGATGTGCCTTAACAACTCAATGTTGTGACCCAGGGTGGGCATGTATCAATGTGTTTAATGAATATTTTAATAAATAACATCTAATGAATATTTTAATAAATAACATCTTCAGCCATGTAGTAAGATGTATTTCCTAATTTGCCATTTTTAAGGTAGCTGTTGCCTGGCTTAAGCCTGTGAATAACCTGTGTGTTACATTCCTGCAATGCCTGCACTGGTGCTGTAACTTTATTTCTCTTTGAGCTGCATTTTTAGGAGTAGAACAGATGCTTGAACTGTGAAATCCATTTATTTTTCTCTTAATATTTCAGTTATATAAAATGTTGTAAGAGTGTAGGTGTTGCTCTCATAATCAGCTGGATGTTGTCTACTGCTTGATTTCAGTTCTGACACAGTATCTTCACGCTTATTTATCCTCATGTACAGCCCAACTGCCACCCAGCAGCCTCATCCCCCTCCCACCAGAGCTTTTCTGCTGGAAACCTGTGCTGGATTTCCCTTTCAACACATAGGCAATGTTTTTTGTGGTCAGGGAGGGGACAGGCTAAAAAATGCCAAATTATCATCACCTTTGAGCGTAATGAGAGAAGAATAAGCTCTTCCAGTGCAGAAAGTAACTACATTTTTCCATCTCTTGCTGTAATAGCAGCAGATGGCATTTGCGGCCCAGAATACGCTGTCCTTTGAATAATGATCCTTGCTGAGGAAAGCTTGATTTTGTTTTTTCACGTGTAAAAAGTTGATTTTTTTTAATTTAAAAGCACAAGTAAATCTTATTCTTTACCTGCGTGTGCTGTTTTTTTACCAATCTTAATGATTCCATTTTTAAAACATTCTCTGTGATATCTATTACCCAGGGCAGTGGTGGAGTCCCCATCCCTGGAGGTATTTAAGGGTCGTGTAGATATAGTGCTCAGGGACGTGGTTTAGTGGTGGGCTTGTCAGTGTTAGGTTAATGATTGGACTAGATGATCTTACAGGTCTTTTCCAATCCAGGAGATTCTGTGATTCTGTTATTGTTTGCACCAAAAGGAGTTGTTATCATGAGTTTAAAGAGATGTTACGCATGTGCACGTATGTACATATGCAAACATATTTATTACCAATGAGCATGTAATGATGCTTGGAGTAAAAATGGCCACTTCTCATTTGTCCTTTTTCCACCAAACAGACCTTGATTTCCCTGTTTTGCTTAGTTTTGGGTCACAGTTTATTACACGGGCTGGGTCAGTGCCCCAGAAGTGAAGGGTGAGACCGCTTGGTTTGCAAAAGCAGTTCCTGGAATTCCTGACAATCTGAAGTTTATATGGCTTTCCATGGCATTTGTATCAGCTTTTAGGGCAGACAGGAGCGAGAATGAAAATGAACTCTGTCACAAATTTAAAGGCACTTCTGAGTTAACTTTCTGGATGGACTTTATCTTTGGCCACAATGGTGGTCCGTCCATGCCTGTCTTCTTTCCTAGGCAACACCTTTGGGTAGGGGATTCTCTGTTTCAAGAGCATCCTCAGCTTCGGCATGTTCAGGGAAATGCCCTTCTATGAGTCCTGAAGTGCCGTGGGCATCCCGTGGTCTTATACCTGCCAACGCTCAGATATGGAAAGTCTCTTGATTTTCACTTGACCTGGACATGCTCAGCTCTTACTTTTTTTTTTGATAGTGATTTGTATATATATCTTTATCTAAATTTTAAAATTCAATATAAAACAGAAACGATAAAATCCTTTTATATCATTTTATATTAAAAATCAGTCTAAATACGTATCTATCCAGAAACATAAATCAAGAAATGAGGAACTATCTAAAGAAAGGAGAAAGGAAGAGTTAATTAATTTAGATTGTTTATTAGGTACATCACTGAAATACCACATTGCTTTATCTAGTTAAGGAAAAAATGAGTAAATAAAAGTAAAGAATAAACAATATTTCTTCCATTAAGAAAGCTGCTGCTCTCTGTATCAGAGAGTTTACCAAAACATAAAAGCATTTCTATAAACTTCTCATGCAAAATAGTAGCATCTGTGGGTTTAGCACTATTGCATGTTTTTTCATCTGAGGATGGTTTGTGCCTTTTTACACAGAGCAAGACCTACTGGAAAAGGCCTAGTCAATTTGTAGACAAAATTACTGATTTTCCCGTAAGTTTAAGTGCACTGGTGTGGAAAGGATGGTCTTACTCTTCTAAAGCATTTTTCAAAAGTAAACAGCGGTGGGCTTTGACCAGCCTGCATTTGTGTCTGCTTAGGACCTGGCACCCTGGAGGCAGAGTATTGTAGTAGTAGGAATAATACCAATTTAAAAATAGAACAAAACCTGTAATATCGGGAATAATATCTAGCCTCTATACTGTAAATATAAAAACTGCCTAGCACCGTGATGTCCACACACCTTACAGAACAGATGGATGTTAGCCCCCCTGATATAAAGGAGAGGAAACCGAAGCCAAGGAGGCTGTGGGGACTTCCCTGAATTCACCAGCAGAACTGTAGAAGAATCATAGAATCATAGAATGGTTTAGGTTGGAAAGAACCTTGAAAATCATCGAGTTCCAACCCCCCTGCCACGGGCAGGGACACCTGCCACTAGACCAGGTTGCCCAAGGCCATGTCCAGCCTGGCCTTGAACACCTCTGGGGATGGGGCCTCAACAACCTCTCTGGGCTTATAAATCGACTCTCCACATCCCAGTCCAGTGAGCTGGCCTTGGAACTGCTCTGAAATAAGACAATGACATTGGTGATTACTGTGTTTTGATCTGAGAATGTAGTGGTAACAGGTTACGTGTCACTACAGTATCATTTTATGTAATTTTCCAAATATTTATAAATAATTCAAACTTCAGGTTGGATGTGGTGTATCAAAGGTGTCTCGTCACATCCCCTTGTCTTTTTACATCAAAGGAGCATCAGAGACAGCACTGACATGTTATAGCCATGAAATAAAACACAGCATTTTGAAGTGAATGGCATTTGAGTACCAGACTTTGGCTTATAATGGGAAAGTAAAAGAGCTTTACTAATAAATCTGATTAGAGCACTGCCATCCCGAGGACAGTCAGAGGAGTGTATTGACACTGGAAACCTTTGTCATTTTTAAGAGAGAATAAAAGCTGTTGTTGACAAGATGAAAGAAGGTTGTTGGGTAGAGAGGCCAGGGTTCTTCACTGTGACCATTCCTCTTAAATAACATGTCATTATTTTTAATGACATATTATCCGTGTCAGGTTATGCAGAAGTGGGAACCACTGCTTTCAGTGAAAGGAAACAGAATCACAGAATCACAGAATGGTCAGGGTTGGAAGGGACCTCTGGAGATCATCTAGTCCAACCCCCCCGCCAGAGCAGGGTCACCTACAGCAGGTTGCACAGGATGGCATCCAGGTGGGTTTTGAATGTCTCCAGAATGGGAGACTCCACCACCTCTCTGGGCAGCCTGTTCCAGTGCTCTATGACCCTCAAAGTAAAGAAATTCCTCCTCATGTTAAGATAGAATTTCCTATGTTCAAGTTTGTGCCCATTACCTCTTGTCCTATCACTGTCCTAACAGCATCGGAGACTCAAATTGAAAACCAAAGCGAACCCAAACTTCAGATTTGATTTTATTAAAATTTAAAACTAAGGGGTGTTTGAAGATATCTTTGACCTTCAAGCTCTTTTCTTAAATATGGGAACAACAGATGGTGTTGCTGAAAGTTTAAAGTTGCATGAATGAACCTATTTAAAGATGGATGTGGTGCAGACAAAATCTAGAAACACTTGGGAAGGATTCAGAAGGCAGAACTGCCTAACACGTTAAGAAAGCACCCAGCATAAGCAATGACTGGCCATGGCACGTTGGCAAAAACCAACACAGTTTGTTATTAGTGACACAGGAAAGGAAACAAAGCTCATTCTGTGTGAGGACACCTAAAAGACAGTTGGCGTTTTTAAACTTGGAGAGTTGTTATAGGCAGGGATGCCGACTTCCCCGGACTGCATGTGAAGGAGGTGATGCAAATGAAAGCAACATGGGGAACTCTATTAGTGAGTGAAAATACAGTAACTCCTGTCACAGATTTGGAAGGTAACATATGCAATTTAAGGAGATTTCAATCAATCGATTACAAGGCTCACTAGGACAGAAACACCATTTTCAATGAAAGCTTAAGAGATGTTCTGTTTAAACTGTTAGGATATTTTTTAATGAAACATGATTACTTTTTTAGGTATTGTAATCATTTTTGCAGCAAAGAAACGTAGATAAAAGATCTGCAGGGATCATTAGTTTAATCTATTGAAATGTACAGTGCTCCACTGCCCTCTTTTGCCTTGTACCTGGAAGAGCAGCAGTCTCAGTAACACAGCAATGGGCACCTTTCCCTTCCAAGGCGTGTGCCTTTTGAAGTGGCTTGCAGACCAGTGACAAACCATGAGGGATCCTTTGGGAATCTTCACTTTCTCACTACAAAAGGAAAAATGCTGCAAATATGTCCTCTTCTTTTACATGCCTAAGGACCAAATATTCATCCTTCACTCCTGCAGATTTTCCACCAAATTCTTAAATGATAACTAGAATTTCATCCCAGGTGGATTTGTTCAGATTTTGCTATGCAAAACATCTAATAGGGATCCTGCGGAAATAGAATTTAAAACTCCATCTGGGCTTGCCCTCCATGTGCATTCTGCTGGGAACCAGTAGAGCCTTGTTAATATTGCCTCCAGAAGCTATTTTGCAAAAGAAAAAATCATCTTAATTGTTTGTTATCTGTCTGTCTTGTTTATCAGGAAAAAATGTGTTTAGAAAATTCTGTGCTAGCCCTTCAAAATCTTCCTGTTTGTTCACAGGGCACACTTGAATAATTATGTTTATAGTTATCTTTCTATTTTTCACGGCTGGCAATATCCTCTAGCAGCTTGAAAATTATTTTGGATTTCCTACCATTTTGACACTGAAATTTATGTAGAAAAAGAATAGCCTTGGGCTTATGTTGGTGTCTTACTGTCTTGCCATGGTATTTTTTTGCTTTTGCACAAGCATCACTGACAGTGAAAACACAGCTCTTGGAACAGTTTTTATCTGTTAGGGTTCCTGCAAAGTCAGTGAAGGATAACAATGCATCACGAACAAATGAATCCATCCTAAAGCAGAGGTTTTGTTTTTGTATTTTATGCGGAAATGAGCCTTTTAGGCATTACTTATTTGGACAAAAATATACAGAAACAGATGACATAGAAATGTTTATGTTTATGTATTACGTGTATCCTATTACAGCATTTTGTTGGAAGTTAGTAGACTGCAAATTACAAGACCTGTTTACAACAGCTAGCCAAGGTTCACTTGTAATGTGAATAGGTAATAATCTGAGGATGATTTAACTTATTTCTGTTCTTGTCAGTGACAACTCATTTGTTGCTCTTGAAAATTTCCACTGAAATATTTTCAGTGGATATTTTCACAAGCTAGTGACTAACAGCCTTTGAGAAGTTGATACAGTAGTGTACCCATTACTATATTAAAGTGTGGGGGCAAGGGAGTTAGATGGAAGAAATTGATACGACAGTTGGGAAAGCAAAAGAGCATTTCACAGCTTGAGAGAGCTGTTTTGAGGAGGTGACAAAGCCAGGGAGATTCTGGGTGGACCATAAGAGCATACAGGAACGCTGGGACATAAGGAAATTATACTGCTCAGCCCCTTGCTGTCCCTGCTCAGATCTACAATTGGCCCAGATCCAGTGAATTTTCAGCGTATATCTTAAGGTACCTACCTTCCTCCAGCTGACTCTGAGGAGACTGAAGAAGGAGCTCTGGCTGCAGCCCAGCTGAAGCTGTGGCACTGGGTATGAACAGGCAGCAGTTGTAACACAACTGCCTGACAGATGTGTGAAAGTTATCTTACACTTGGCAGCTTTACAATAACCAAACGTGTTGAGGTAGGAAACATCATGGAATTCACAGCAAATAATCTATGATATGTTTTCCCTTCCCTTCTCTTCCCTTCCCTTCCCTTCCCTTCCCTTCCCCTGTATGCAGCAATCACTGATGGTCTCCAGAAACTTCACCTATAAACTCTGTCTCATTATGACGTTTGGGCATCTTGTGTAACAGCAACTGAAGCTTCCCGTCGTGCCTATTTTATGAGATATTTGACGACTGTTCTTTATCTAGAAGCATTGTACATTTGATAATATTTTTAACTCTAAAATTGTATACTAGTAGCTGTAAAAATCTAATTTAATTAAGGTTACTATCAGGAAAATACTAAAATGTTAATATTTTGTGGTTTTATAATTTGGGAATTTGTATTATTATACTTATACATAATTCTGTGATTATTTTCTTTATGAGGCTGTAGCTGTAATCTACAAAGCAGTTGGATACTTGCTATCAACTCAGATTAGTCCAAGATTTCACTTTGAATTTTTCCATTATATTCTATTTCAGTGATCAAAATTTTCACCTGGTGTAGCCAAGTATTAGAGAGAAGTATCTTCTGGATTGCTGTTATTCCACCAAATTATTATTTTTGTATTACAAATGCACAA